GGGGACCACATAACACTGGGCTTCTTCCACACAAACAGTGGTAGGTAGGGGACCACAATACAGGGCTTCTTCCACACAAACAGTGGTAGGTAGGGGACCACAATACAGGGCTTCTTCCACAAAGAACAGTGGTAGGTAGGGGACCACAATACAGGGCTTCTTCCACCCAAACAGTGGTAGGTAGGGGACCACAATACAGGGCTTCTTCTTCACAACAAACAACAGTGGTAGATAGGGGACCACAATACAGGGCTTCTTCCACACAAACAGTGGTAGATAGGGGACCACAACACAGGGCTTCTTCCACACAAACAGTGGTATTTAGGGGACAAAAATACAGGGCTTCTTCAACACAAACAGTGGTTGGTAGGGGACCACAATACAGGGCTTCTTCCACACAAACAACAACAGTGGTAGGTAGGGGACCACAATACAGGGCTTCTTCCACACAAACAGTGGTAGGTAGGGGACCACAATACAGGGCTTCTTCCGCACAAACAACAACAGTGGTATGTAGGGGACCACAATACAGGGCTTCTTCCACACAAACAGTGGTAGGTAGGGGACCACAATACAGGGCTTCTTCCACACAAACAGTGGTAGGTAGGGGACCACAATACATGGCTTCTTCCACACAAACAGTGGTAGGTAGGGGACCACAATACAGGGCTTCTTCCACACAAACAGTGGTAGGTAGGGGACCACAATACAGGGCTTCTTCCACACAAACAGTGGTAGGTAGGGGACCACAATACAGGGCTTCTTCCACACAAACAGTGGTAGGTAGGGGACCACAATACAGGGCTTCTTCTGCACAAACAACAGTGGTAGGTAGGGGACCACAATACTGGTCTCCTTCCGCACAAACAACAGTGGTAGGTAAGGGTCCTCAATACAGGGCTTCTTCCGCACAAACAACAACAGTGGTAGGTAGGGGACCACAATACTGGGCTTCTTCCGCACAAACAACAGTGGTAGGTAGGGGACCACAATACTGGGCTTCTTCCGCACAAACAACAGTGGTAGGTAGGGGACCACAATTCAGGGCTTCTTCCACACAAACAGTGGTAGGTAGGGGTCCACAATACAGGGCTTCTTCCTCACAAACATTGGTAGGTAGAGGACCACAATACAGGGCTTCTTCCGCATTAACAGTGGAAGGTAGGGGACCACAATACAGGGCTTCTTCCACACAAACAACAACAGTGGTAGGTAGGGGACCACAATACAGGGCTTCTTCCACACAAACAGTGGTAGGTAGGGGACCACAATACAGGGCTTCTTCCGCACAAACAACAACAGTGGTAGGTAGGGGACCACAATACAGGGCTTCTTCCACACAAACAGTGGTAGGTAGGGGACCACAATACAGGGCTTCTTCCACACAAACAGAGGTAGGTAGGGGACCACAATACAGGGCTTCTTCCACACAAACAGTGGTAGGTAGGGGACCACAATACAGGGCTTCTTCCACAAAGAACAGTGGTAGGTAGGGGACCACAATACAGGGCTTCTTCCACCCAAACAGTGGTAGGTAGGGGACCACAATACAGGGCTTCTTCCGCACAAACAACAGTGGTAGATAGGGGACCGCAATACAGGGCTTCTTCCACACAAACAGTGGTAGATAGGGGACCACAACACAGGGCTTCTTCCACACAAACAGTGGTAGGTAGGGGACAAAAATACAGGGCTTCTTCAACACAAACAGTGGTAGGTAGGGGACCACAATACAGGGCTTCTTCCACAAAGAACAGTGGTAGGTAGGGGACCACAATACAGGGCTTCTTCCACACAAACAGTGGTAGGTAGGGGACCACAATACAGGGCTTCTTCCGCACAAACAACAACAGTGGTATGTAGGGGACCACAATACAGGGCTTCTTCCACACAAACAGTGGTAGGTAGGGGACCACAATACAGGGCTTCTTCCACACAAACAGTGGTAGGTAGGGGACCACAATACAGGGCTTCTTCAACACAAACAGTGGTAGGTAGGGGACCACAATACAGGGCTTCTTCCACACAAACAGTGGTAGGTAGGGGACCACAATACAGGGCTTCTTCCACACAAACAGTGGTAGGTAGGGGACAACAATACATGGCTTCTTCCACACAAACAGTGGTAGGTAGAGGACCACAATACAGGGCTTCTTCCACACAAACAGTGGTAGGTAGGGGACCATAATACTGGGCTTCTTCCACACAAACAGTGGTAGGTAGGGGACCACAATACAGGGCTTCTTCCACACAAACAGTGGTAGGTAGGGACCACAATACAGGGCTTCTTCCACACAAACAGTGGTAGGTAGGGGACCACAGTACAGGGCTTCTTCCACACAAACAGTGGTAGGTAGGGGACCACAATACAGGGCTTCTTCCACACAAACAGTGGTAGGTAGGGGACCACAATACATGGCTTCTTCCACACAAACAGTGGTAGGTAGGGGACCACAATACAGGGCTTCTTCCACACAAACAGTGGTAGGTAGGGGACCACAATACAGGGCTTCTTCCACACAAACAGTGGTAGGTAGGGGACCACAATACATGGCTTCTTCCACACAAACAGTGGTAGGTAGAGGACCACAATACAGGGCTTCTTCCACACAAACAGTGGTAGGTAGGGGACCGCAATACTGGGCTTCTTCCACACAAACAGTGGTAGGTAGGGGACCACAATACAGGGCTTCTTCCACACAAACAGTGGTAGGTAGGGGACCACAATACAGGGCTTCTTCCACACAAACAGTGGTAGGTAGGGGACCACAGTACAGGGCTTCTTCCACACAAACAGTGGTAGGTAGGGACCACAATACAGGGCTTCTTCCACACAAACAGTGGTAGGTAGGGGACCACAATACAGGGCTTCTTCCACACAAACAGTGGTAGGTAGGGGACCACAATACAGGGCTTCTTCCACACAAACAGTGGTAGGTAGGGGACCACAATACAGGGCTTCTTCCACACAAACAGTGGTAGGTAGGGGACCACAATACAGGGCTTCTTCCACACAAACAACAGTGGTAGGTAGGGGACCACAATACTGGTCTCCTTCCGCACAAACAACAGTGGTAGGTAAGGGTCCTCAATACAGGGCTTCTTCCGCACAAACAACAACAGTGGTAGGTAGGGGACCACAATACTGGGCTTCTTCCGCACAAACAACAGTGGTAGGTAGGGGACCACAATACTGGGCTTCTTCCGCACAAACAACAGTGGTAGGTAGGGGACCACAATTCAGGGCTTCTTCCACACAAACAGTGGTAGGTAGGGGTCCACAATACAGGGCTTCTTCCTCACAAACATTGGTAGGTAGAGGACCACAATACAGGGCTTCTTCCGCATTAACAGTGGAAGGTAGGGGACCACAATACAGGGCTTCTTCCACACAAACAACAACAGTGGTAGGTAGGGGACCACAATACAGGGCTTCTTCCACACAAACAGTGGTAGGTAGGGGACCACAATACAGGGCTTCTTCCACACAAACAGAGATAGGTGGGGGACCCCAATACAGGGCTTCTTCCACACAAACAGTGGTAGGTAGGGGACCACAATACAGGGCTTCTTCCACACAAACAGTGGTAGGTAGGGGACCACAATACAGGGCTTCTTCCACACAAACAGTGGTAGGTAGGGGACGACAATACAGGGCTTCTTCCACAGAAACAGTGGTAGGTAGGGGACCGCAACACTGGGCTTCTTCCACACAAACAGTGGTAGGTAGGGGACCACAATACAGGGCTTCTTCCACACAAACAGTGGTAGGTAGGGGACCACAATACAGGGCTTCTTCCACAAAGAACAGTGGTAGGTAGGGGACCACAATACAGGGCTTCTTCCACCCAAACAGTGGTAGGTAGGGGACCACAATACAGGGCTTCTTCCGCACACAACAACAGTGGTAGATAGGGGACCACAATACAGGGCTTCTTCCACACAAACAGTGGTAGATAGGGGACCACAACACAGGGCTTCTTCCACACAAACAGTGGTAGGTAGGGGACACAAATACAGGGCTTCTTCAACACAAACAGTGGTAGGTGGGGACCACAATACAGGGCTTCTTCCACACAAACAACAACAGTGGTAGGTAGGTGGGGACCACAATACAGGGCTTCTTCCACACAAACAGTGGTAGGTAGGGGACCACAATACAGGGCTTCTTCCAAGACAAACAACAACAGTGGTATGTAGGGGACCACAACACAGGGCTTCTTCCACACAAACAGTGGTAGGTGGGGACCACAATACAGGGCTTCTTCCACACAAACAGTGGTAGGTAGGGGACCACAATACAGGGCTTCTTTCACACACAAACAGTGGTAGGTAGGGGACCACAATACAGGGCTTCTTCAACACAAACAGTGGTAGGTAGGGGACCACAATACAGGGCTTCTTCCACACAAACAGTGGTAGGTAGGGGACCACAATACAGGGCTTCTTCCACACAAACAGTGGTAGGTAGGGGGAAAACAATACATGGCTTCTTCCACACACAAACAGTGGTAGGTAGAGGACCACAATACAGGGCTTCTTTCACACAAACAGTGGTAGGTAGGGGACCGCAATACTGGGCTTCTTCCACACAAACAGTGGTAGGTAGGGGACCACAATACAGGGCTTCTTCCACACAAACAGTGGTAGGTAGGGGACCACAATACAGGGCTTCTTCCACACAAACAGTGGTAGGTAGGGGACCACAGTACAGGGCTTCTTCCACACAAACAGTGGTAGGTAGGGGACCACAATACAGGGCTTCTTCCACACAAACAGTGGTAGGTAGAGGACCACAATACAGGGCTTCTTCCACACAAACAGTGGTAGGTAGGGGACCACAATACAGGGCTTCTTCCACACAAACAGTGGTAGGTAGGGGACCACAATACAGGGCTTCTTCCACACAAACAGTGGTAGGTAGGGGACCACAATACATGGCTTCTTCCACACAAACAGTGGTAGGTAGAGGACCACAATACAGGGCTTCTTCCACACAGACAGTGGTAGGTAGGGGACCACAATACTGGAGCTTCTTCCACACAAACAGTGGTAGGTAGGGGACCACAATACAGGGCTTCTTCCACACAAACAGTGGTAGGTAGGGGACCACAGTACAGGAGCTTCTTCCACACAAACAGTGGTAGGTAGGGGACCACAATACAGGGCTTCTTCCACACAAACAGTGGTAGGGGACCACAATACAGGGCTTCTTCCACACAAACAGTGGTAGGTAGGGGACCACAATACATGGCTTCTTCCACACAAACAGTGGTAGGTAGAGGACCACAATACAGGGCTTCTTCCACACAGACAGTGGTAGGTAGGGGACCACAATACTGGGCTTCTTCCACACAAACAGTGGTAGGTAGGGGACCACAATACAGGGCTTCTTCCACACAAACAGTGGTGGGGTAGGGGACCACAGTACAGGGCTTCTTCCACACAAACAGTGGTAGGTAGAGGACCACAATACAGGGCTTCTTCCACACAGACAGTGGTAGGTAGGGGACCACAATACTGGGCTTCTTCCACACAAACAGTGGTAGGTAGGGGACCACAATACAGGGCTTCTTCCACACAAACAGTGGTAGGTAGGGGACCACGGTACAGGGCTTCTTCCACACAAACAGTGGTAGGTAGGGGACCACAATACAGGGCTTCTTCCACACAAACAGTGGTAGGTAGGGGACCACAATACATGGCTTCTTCCACACAAACAGTGGTAGGTAGGGGACCACAATACAGGGCTTCTTCCACACAAACAGTGGTAGGTAGGGGACCACAATACAGGGCTTCTTCCACACAAACAGTGGTAGGTAGGGGACCACAATACAGGGCTTCTTCCGCACAAACAACAGTGGTAGGTAGGGGACCACAATACTGGTCTCCTTCCGCACAAACAACAGTGGTAGGTAAGGGTCCTCAATACAGGGCTTCTTCCGCACAAACAACAACAGTGGTAGGTAGGGGACCACAATACTGGGCTTCTTCCGCACAAACAACAGTGGTAGGTAGGGGACCACAATTCAGGGCTTCTTCCACACAAACAGTGGTAGGTAGGGGTCCACAATACAGGGCTTCTTCCACACAAACAGTGGTAGGTAGGGGACCACAATACTGGGCTTCTTCCGCACAAACAACAGTGGTAGGTAGGGGACCACAATTCAGGGCTTCTTCCACACAAACAGTGGTAGGTAGGGGTCCACAATACAGGGCTTCTTCCACACAAACATTGGTAGGTAGAGGACCACAATACAGGGCTTCTTCCGCATTAACAGTGGAAGGTAGGGGACCACAATACAGGGCTTCTTCCACACAAAAAACAACTGTGGTAGGTAGGAGACGACCGAGAGTGTATCAAATATGATATATACAGACAAGATGTTGGTACAGACAATATGTATATATAATATAACGAATTTGCTCATGCTATTGACCACATGTTTGTCAGACAGAGAGTTGTGTATCAGCAGGAGGCCAGGAACTGTAACTGGAGCAACTGAATCTAGAAGGTTTTAGAAAAATCGTTAGAGTTGGTACAGCAATGGACAGTGTCTCTTGATTAGTTCCTTGTTATAAGAGGCGGTGGTCAGACTCCCTGACTAGGTTGACATATGTCATCGGTTCCAAATTGCGCAGATCAATGCTCATGCTGTTGATCACTGGATTGTCTGGTCCAGACTCGATTATTTACAGACCGCCTCCATATAGCTGGAATATTGCTGAGTGCAGCGTAAAACTAAATTCACTCACTCACTCACTCCTTCTTGTTACAGCTAAACAACCAACTAAAGAATCCAGCAATGAGCCTCAAGCTGGTGAACACTCCTCATGTGACAGTGAACACTCCTCGTATGACAGTGAACATTTTCTGGACAGTCATATAGAATTTGACCCTTTATTCTCATCCACAAATGTCTGCTCCACATCAGGGGACAAAAGTTCCTCAAATCAAGACCTCAGCTCACCAAACTCAAATCAGCATTCAAGGGAGGCTACTCTTCAACGAATGTGTGACTCACATGAAGATGTGCCTGTTCGAGTGGAAGAGCACCTGTCTCATATTGATTTTTCCAAACCAAAGCTTGAAGAGCCGGTCATTAAAAGGAGTGATTCATCTTGTCCAGACATGGTTGGGAATCAGAGCTTAGACAAATCCATCTTACCATCTTGTGAGCCTGAAGCATCTCAGGATGAAGGTACTAGATGGAGGCAACAACATGAGTTGGAAGATGATCACAAAACCGACAAAACCGGATTTAGAGATGCTCTCTTCACAGTTAACCTGTCAGATTCTCTTCCTTTACGTATGAGAAAAGGTTCAAGGGGTTTCAAACTCAGGGAATCTGAAAAACAGGGAGAGGAAAACGTATGTGAAGATACTGTAAGATTTGTGGATAGCTCTCTAACTTTCACTCAGACTTTTCACGATGACTCTTGTAAATCTGGGCCAAGGCTATGTTTTTCTGACTCATTAGATATTGATTGTGACAGACACTGTGTAAGTGGCAATGTGTTGACAAAACACGACATGGATCCCAGTGACGAAATATTGGTAAGGAGATTGAGACGAGGCTGTCAAGTCAGATCAGTGGCTCGGGGAATAGACGTGAATGTTACAAATTGTTGCTTGGAGCTAGAAGAGGAAGAATGCAAAACATCGCCTTCAGCGTCCATCTCCTGGAGAGATGACAGAGGGACTCCGGACTTGCTGTGTTTATTGGAACATGGTGGAAATGGCTTGGAGCCGACATCATTACTCGGCAGGTCACGTGGAAGTCTTAATGATCACAATCTAGACCCAAAACTTGCCTTGAAGCCAAACTTGTCTGACAGTGTGAACTCTCTCGATCTGTCCCCTCCAGCGACATCCGATGGTGGAGGGGCAACAGGTCCAGTGAGACCCTTGCAGCAGATTTGTATTTGGAAATCAGGTCAGGATGACTCAGACACTGACAGGATGGCACAAGGAAGTGACCTTTCCTGGGCCACTAGAGCAGGTTGTGATGGTTCCTTAACAAACGTACCCCATCATGCACTAGGAGGATTGTGTAAGACCTCGAGGTCGTTACGACACCAGCATAGGGTCTCAGGGACAGACACTGAGGGTAAATGTCACTTGTGGTCTGAGGGAAGTTTGATGTCCAGTTTGTCTAAACACAGAAATGGCTCTGCCGAGCACATCAATGTTGTACCCAGTGAGGGAGGGGTTTCAGGTGGTTCAGACTCACTGGTGTTTACACCATCGCAGGGACCCAACGCTGGACCTGATGAGGTGGAGGGGGATGTTGATGCAGACTTTCTCCTGGATTCACAACTGATCTGAGTTTTGTGTTTAAAATAAAATGTGGCATGATCACTCCCCCCACCACCCTGATTGACTGTACTTGACTTTTCAATACAGGAACAATCATATACATCATCACCACCATCATCACCATCATCACTTTCATCATGCAAAATAAAAGTGTTATCATTATTTGACTGAAAGGTTTTTCATGTTTAATTCATCTTTAAATGTTCTAAAGACGCATGACCTTTCAAGGTCATCACTACTGGCAGCTATGTATATATTTTCAGAATAATCAAAGTCATGTTTTAGTTGAGACACTGAACACCTGTGAAATCTACTGTCAAATTTCCATATTTTGCTGATTGAAAGAACAAAATACTGGCATGGTTGTTGTTATTGTTGTTTTGTCAGCCTCGTGATGAGCAGGTATTTGTCCAGTGCTCTGACAGCAATTCAAAGGTGGAGCTTGTGTTGGTGATACAGACAGGTGACACTCACTAACTGTCACTCTCGTAAGTCACTCACTCACCTCACAGACTGACTCATTCTATATTCCAACTCACTTTACTAAGTGGGTGGTGGGGTAAACTCAGGGTTAAAGTTTTCTCTGGTCATGCCTGGGTTTGGATTGCCCACGTGGGTACAATGTGTGAAGCCCATTTCTGGTGTCTCCCACTGTGATATTGCTGGAGTATTGCTAAAAGCGGTGTAAAACTAAACTCGCTCACTCACTCACTCATTTCACTGACTTGGTCCATTGTACATGATTCTGCAAATTCCGGAAGGTAACTCACTCACTCAGTCCATTGCGTCACTCCAACCTTCACTCCATCACCCCCGTAACTCATTCTCTCACTTCTTTCTATCATTCACTCACTCCTGTAAACTCACGGACTTGTGTGTCAGGGTGATCGGAAACAATGTAGTCTGGACCAGACAATCCCGTGACTGATATTCTGAGCACCGTCCTCGACGTACGAACACATACTGTCAACCAGGTCAGCTGACAAGCTGGTACATTTAGTCACCTCTGACGACCAGCGTAGGTCGCTGGGGTTTAATCTAACCAGGTACAGTGTTTTTAAGTTTAAGGATCTGTCAGGCGATCTTCATGAAGGACAATATGGCCTCAAATCTTTCTGTCCGACTTGAGTGGTGGAGCTATCGGGAATATGTTCCCGAGGTCGGCGCGATTGGCAGTAAATCACATGCAAGTAGGTGTGTATATCACCACAAGTGCTGACCTAACATAGGCCGATGTGTGTATGTGTGGAGGGAGGCGTTATTGATCACAAATGTGAGTGATTGAGTAAGTGAGTTCATTTTTCGCTTTTAGCAATATTCCAGCAATATCATGGCGGGGGGCACCACAAATGGGCTTCCACATTGACCCCATGTGGGAAATCGAACTCGGCTCCTCGGCGTGACGAGGGAACGCTTTAACCACAAGGCTACACACACACACACACACACACACACACCGATCACGACTGTCTTGGTTCAGTCCCAGTGAAGTTCGACTTTATAAGTGACAATCCAAGCTTTACTGTATGTACAAGCGCTCGTGTGTGAGTAAGCGTGTGGATGAACGGGGGGAGGTTTTAAAAGTACTAAACAGGAACCGGAAGTGACCACTCCGACTTCGCGCTTGGCCCTCACTCACTCCGGCTTAAACTTTCAGCTGCTGATGTTGCGCCGTGGTGAAGCTGCAGTGTTGCTGGTGGTGGCACAACGCCGACTGTCGTTGCTGGTTGGTGGTGGACAGTTTCCACTGATGAAAAGTAACAGCGAGATGTGAAATCAATAACTAAATCTGAAATAGTACACTTTATGTAATATATCTTGCGACATTATGTAAAAGTCCAAACCGTGAGCTGTGAAGGATCTGGTTGATGCGGGTCGGAGTGCGTCAGCCGGTATACAGTTGACGGCAACCTGTCGCGTCACTGGTGACACGGAAGTAGAGTCTGAAATACGCAGACAAAATTACATTGGACCCTGTCATATGTCACACAGTAAGGATGTCTGTCAGTAGGTGAGATGGAGTGGTGTTCAGGCTCCCTTCAGCGCAATTGGTTGAAATCAAATTTAGTTGTGCAATCAGCGACGTTTCAAAAGTGATCATTCGCAAGGCCTCGGTAATTTCCGTATGCTTCGGAGAAAACTAGAACCTCTTCCCCTGCGCGATGCGCAAACGTTTCTGAAAGACAGTACTCAGTCATGTAAATGGCGGATCAATGGCGTGTCCATCGCCCTCGTTGACAACGGACAAGGTAGCCAATAAATGTTTTGTGTGTCACATCAACACAAGTCCCCCGACTGAGGAGGGATATTTGTGGCCCCATATTTGCTTGTATTAGTCAAGTTGGATCTAAGCCGATGTAACACGTGTTCTGATTGGATAGAAAAAAGGGAGATAATTCGTGTTGCGATTTTTTGCAGCTAGGGGATTTTTCGAGAACCGGGAAATATGGCCGTATTAGAACAGAGGTTCGTAGGAAGATATTACAAGTAACCTCTGTGGGAAGAGAATGGTAAATACCATTTTCCTATGAAACAAGGAATTGGAATTCAGTGTAACCATTGTTGTTTGTGGTGTCTTTTTCACTTTCACACGAGAAAATTCTGATCGGCCGAAAAGTAGGTCATTGTCTGAATTGGTTAATGATACTCGTGTTTAGGTTTGGTCAGTGAAGACCTGAGTCAAAATTGTTGTCTTCATCAAGTCATGCTTGTGAAGACATCGGAATCGGTCGGTCAGACTCGATGACTTGGCTAATGCATGTCATCGTGCCCCAGCTGCGTAGATCGACGTCCATGACATCAACCCTTCTATCCCGGACAGTTGGTATGATCCCGCCGTCCTCCCTGTGGGAAGGTAATGGCAACAGTGTCACGAATATTTCACTTCAGTCAGACTTGTCTTCTCTTGTTTAGTGTCTTAAATAATATAATACAATGTGAAGCGTGACTGGTCAGTCAAGACAGTTCTGCTCCACTACCTCTGGTTGAGTCTGGCATATCTGCGGACGTGTCGTTAACGTTGACCACTACGACACTGGGTCAGAATAGGTCCTATTCATGGTGGTCCATCTCGGATACATGTGGTGCCCAGTCGATTCCTGATGCTCTGCGATGACTCTTACCTCTATTTTACTGTCTGCTGGTTGAGTTTTCAGTCGCCAGTCTGTTGCGGAAATGACGTAACCCTGTTTGTAGGTCACATAGGTGTGACGTCACATCGGCAGCGATGCTCCCAGGCTTCATCCCAGGGCTTGTGCAAATACTGCAACGATCTGTCCAGCATCAAGCCGACCAATGGCACACTCAAATGGCTTATTGTGTCACACCATTCTCGTGTATCTATTTCCTTTTTATCAATAGCTGTATGCTTGATCGTTGGATGTCACAATCTTTCAGCAAGACCATGTTCCTTCAACCTGCACGTCATTGCTGTTATGTGACACAACAAGAGGCTGACAAGGATTACTCCACACACAATTGATATCATTAATGTGGATGTCAGATTTCTATTATTGTTAGTAGGGGTGGGTATTACAGAGAAATTTCATATTGCGATATATTGCCATACGAAAGCATATATATTGCGATATGTACCAACTTTTAATCCAAATAAATTAGAAAAGTAAATAATATTTGTCACAAATGAAACAATGAAATATCCGAAGATTTCCGAGCGTTACGAAGTTTTCCGAATGCAAGTCAAAATACCGGTTTTCGATCAGCGTATCGCAATTTCATGTCTGAACCGGTAAGTACCGGTAAACCGGTTTTACTGCGCAGCCCTAATTGTTAGGGGCGATGGGGTAGCCTTGTGGTTAAAGCGTTCGCTCATCACGCTGAACATCCCCTCATGGGTACGATGTTGTTGCCGAATTATTGCTACATGCGGCGTAAAAACCAGCTTTCTTACGAATTGTGTTGGGTACATTGTTCATCCATATATTGTTACCCTTCCTTACTGCCCCAGCTTCTAAATGCCCCCCAAAGAAATGTATATATCACATGGTGTAAACACATGCTATGGCTATACAGCTGATGTGATCATGTATATAACCCGTGCTATGGCTATACAGCTGATGTGATCATGTATATAACACATGCTATGGCTATACAGCTGATGTGATCATGTATATAACACATGCTATGGCTATACAGCTGATGTGATCATGTATATAACACATGCTATGGCTATACAGCTGATGATCATGTATATAACCGTGCTATGGCTATACAGCTGATGTGATCATGTATATAACCGTGCTATGGCTATACAGCTGATGTGATCATGTATATAACACATGCTATGGCTATACAGCTGATGTGATCATGTATATAACCCACATGCTATGGCTATACAGCTGATGTGATCATGTATATAACCCGTGCTATGGCTATACAGCTGATGTGATCATGTATATAACCCATGCTATGGCTATACAGCTGATGTGATCATGTATATAACACATGCTATGGCTATACAGCTGATGTGATCATGTATATAACACATGCTATGGCTATACAGCTGATGTGATCATGTATATAACCCGTGCTATGGCTATACAGCTGATGTGATCATGTATATAACCCGTGCTATGGCTATACAGCTGATGTGATCATGTATATAACCCGTGCTATGGCTATACAGCTGATGTGATCATGTATATAACCCGTGCTATGGCTATACAGCTGATGTGATCATGTATATAACCGTGCCGTGCTATGGCTATACAGCTGATGTGATCATGTATATAACACATGCTATGGCTATGGCAGCTGATGTGATCATGTATATAACCCGTGCTATGGCTATACAGCTGATGTGATCATGTATATAACACATGCTATGGCTATACAGCTGATGTGATCATGTATATAACCCGTGCTATGGCTATACAGCTGATGTGATCATGTATATAACCCGTGCTATGGCTATACAGCTGATGTGATCATGTATATAACACATGCTATGGCTATACAGCTGATGTGATCATGTATATAACACATGCTATGGCTATACAGCTGATGTGATCATGTATATAACACATGCTATGGCTATACAGCTGATGTGATCATGTATATAACACATGCTATGGCTATACAGCTGATGTGATCATGTATATAACACATGCTATGGCTATACAGCTGATGTGATCATGTATATA